ATATATATCTATAATTTAAGGGCTTATTTGATTTGTCACTAAAAAAATAGTCTCCAAGAACTCTAAAAAAAAAAAAATTTTAACAGAATTTTCAAAAAATAGTTCTAAAAAATATCAATCAATTAAGTAGATTTTCGTACAAATTTCTACATTTTAGTTATCAAAAAATAAAATAAAAAATATTATTAAAAATCTCAACCAAACAAGTTCTAAATTATTGGGCAAAATCCATAAGCAATTAAATAAAAAATTGATTTGGATATACTTTGATATACTTTTGTAGTCTACCATACTTTCCCCTGATGTATCACACTTGTTCTATTTGCAAGTGAAACTAACATCAACACTCTCCCTCATTGTTCTCTCATTGTCTCTCATTGTTGAGTTGTCCGTTCGTTTTCAGTACACCAGAGGACATCCACGTAGTCATTCACACGATAAGGAAGGCAACACAGACCATTCTCAATTCATCCCTAATCTATGTTCACACGAATCACACTTCTCAAAAGAGCTAGTGTTTCATGTCACGTTGATTCCGGCTGTATTCCTGGCCGTTTGATGATCATTTGCCAAATGATTACATCCATCGGATCATACATAGTAAATATGGAAACTTTTAAGGCCCTATTATATGGTCCCCTAAACAACTTGGATTTTGTCATATGATTGCATCAAATGGGAACCCAATATGATGGGCCCACCCTCTGGGGGCGAGCTTAGCCCCAATTTGGAGAATCACTCTGACTGCACACATTTCGAGGTGGGCTTGTTTGACCATCATCATGAGAGGGATCTTCAAATTTCAACCGTTTGATCTTATCCCAGAGGTGGAATTTGAATTTTGGTGGTAGTGAGATTTAATTATCTTGTTGCACTTTTGGTCGTGACCATCCTTGGAGGTGGAATCTTAGTTACAAAATTCGGTCAAAGTGGCACCGTTTTCAAGTTTTCCAAGTGAATTTAAGTGAATTTATGATTTGAGAGTAAATTCGCACAAAGTTTGCAAATTTAATTTTTACAATTCATTATTTTTATATGAATTTAGTTTATATAATTAAATTTGTTACCGTCTTAGTAATATATAACACTTATATTATCATTTATATATTTATTAATATAGATTAATTACTTAAATTATATGTGTGCCTAGCTGTATAGTGGTATACTATAATATATATATATATATATATATATATATATATACATACATACGTTTGAAAATATATCACTAAAATACTTCTCAATGAAAGAATATTACAAATAAATCACGCATCTATTAGTAAAAAAAAACTAACTTATTTATTACATATATCATTAATGGAATAAAAAATAAAAAATAATATAGATTTAAATAAATAAAAATATATAAAATATATATGTTATGGCCTAATATAATTTTATTTAAACTTAGTATATTGTATATCAATTGATACAGTGAACTATGATAAAAAAAAAAAAAAAAGAACTAATGTGATTGTTCAAAAATATCTTTTAGCTTTTGTACTAATTATCCTTACCCAAATAGGGCAAACGAAAAGTATGGTTTATTAGGATTTGAAGTATTATTAGAAAAATCAACTTTTAAATTGGCTGTTTGGATCACAGAATAGGAGCAAAAATCAAAAGCAAAAAACACAGAGGTAGCTTCAACCTGAAGATTTTTCTATGACACTGTTAAAAGTAAGGGTAGGTTCCTCTGCTTTATGCTTTTTGGGATTAGGACGGAGGCAACACATTAAATCGAGAGGCCACACAATCATTTTGAAGTCTAAGATTTTTCTATCACATGATTAAAAATGTAAACGTACTGTAAGGAGAAGAAAAATTTACAGTAGGACAAATCTCAATCATCATTTTATGTGCGTAAATATTGATGTTTGGGATAATAATAATAATCATATATTAATTGATATTAGATCGTATTAGACAAAACAGTCGAAATTATCTGACTTTTATGATTTAAATCTTTATTCTTAAAAATAATATGGGAGTTGGATACTTTACTTTATGCATTCTAAGACCAGCACTCTCGCGAAATATTAAATTGAAAGACAATTAAATTAATAAAAACTAATTTCACCGTCAAAGATAATAATAACATATTGATATTAATTCAATTGAATAGGACATTAAATCAAGAGACAACACAATTATTTCAAAGTTGGATTTAATGGAAAAAATATTAAATGGTATTTAAAAAAAAAAAATTTATTAAATGGTTCTTCACCATATAGCAGGCTCAATAAAAATTTTTGTTCAATATTCTTTGTACTATCTTATAAAATTATTATAAAACTATTTTTCGTAATTGGAGAATTTTGATTAGTCTGAATCACATGATCTTCGACTATCTAATACCGAGTAAATTTTTGATTTAGTGTGTCATCCAACATAAGAATTTACCACTAATATTTCAATTGTTAGAATTCTCAAAATAATTGTGTTAAATTCTTAATACAATAATGTTTGACAACACACTAAATCAATATTCAGTACATTATTTCGAGCCTAGGAATAGCAATGCCCAATCTTCATAGTAAAGGTATTAAAAAAGAATAATGATACATAATTAAATATTAAAACACATTTGATTAAATTTACGTGTATAAAAAATATCTTATGCTGACATCATTTCCACTCATATAAAATAGTTACATATATCATACTTTTCTACTACTTAATTATTAGTTTTTATTAAAATAAAAATAAAAATTTATAATGGTAATTTAACACATAAATGGAGCCTGGAAATACTTATATTTTTCTACTACTTATCAGTTTTTATTAAAATAAAATTAAATATTTATAATGGGAATTTAACACATAAATGGAGCCTGGAAATATCTATATTAACTCCTTTATCTGCTGCTGGAATTGTGTCAGGTGTACTGTTTAAGAGTAGGGCGCGCACACTTTTTTATGACCTGATCACAATTGTACTTTGAGCTCTCTGTTCATTGAAGCGTGTTCCACACGGTATCTAAAGTTCCACTGAAACTTCGAATACATGCGAGACCCGAAGGCTGCTACGTACCTCCTCGTGTTTTTTTTTTTAATTATTTATTTGGAAGGTGCCTGCTCGGGTTTCATGGTGGTTCATGTTTGCAACATTTAATTAATTAAGCTGTTAAAAAATTAATTAATTAATTCATTGTTGGACCAATGCGAGCCAAACTTGACCACTAAATTCCAAATAGAAATTAATTCCACAAACTAGCACAATTTGGGTTAGTGTTCTCTTTTGAATATTATTTTAATAGATTTTGATTAAATTCAATAATTTATACCAAATGTTTGAAATTTTATTTTTTTATTTTTATTTTTTTCCAGTAGATGAAAAGAAAAGGCTAAAAACTTTATATTCTAAATTTTTGCCAAAAAACAAAAAATTGGTAATTAAATAACATGTGAATCAAACTTAGCTTGCAAACCAATCGAATTGGCATTCTAACAACTTGGTTCTCATGAGGGGGAAGAGAAATAATGGAAAGAAAAGAAAAAGGAAAAGATAAAAATAAAAATAAAAAAAGGTATTTGTGCTTTTATATAAGTGGAAGGGAAATGGAGAGAAAAAGAAAAAACCATAAAGGGAATACGTTTTCTTTCAAAAAAATTTCAAATTCTCACACATAAAAGAGGGAAAGACTCTCCAATCTTTCATCCCCTTTCTTTTCATTTCCTCTTTTTTTTTTTTTTTAATCTTTTTATTTATGATACCAAATAAACGAGTCCTTTACATTACTATTTAAATATCCTATTACATTCAACGAATCACTAGGAGGGATCATTGCTTCCAATCTTACAAGTTCTCAAGAAATTACTCTCTTAGAAGTTTTTGAATAAAATAAAGAGGTTATTGGATGGAGTGTGACTGATTTGAAATGAATTAGCAACATAATTTATATGCATCAGATTCATTTGAAGGAGAATTCCTGAATTTGTGACATCAAAACCAAAGTGGGGTTTGCTGTAAACAATTTAATCAAAAGTTTAAAATTTTGAATCTCAAATATTTGTAGGTCAATTATTGTTGATCTGCTGATCCAATGTTGTGATTTTAGTATGTTGCTTTTTAGTAGATTTGTTTCAAGATGGTGTGAGATTATACGATTTTGTGATCGTCGAATTTGGCTTTTGAACTATTTTAGAAGACTCGCCGACACTTGTATTTTTTGATTCGTTTAGAGTTTGTCACATGACATTCTTTATATTCTCTTGTATAATATATAATGACATACACATGTAATATTTATAAGTGATTAAATCTAAAAACGACCTTGTATAGTACTGCACCGAATTTCATTTTTCAAAGAGTTTGAATTGGGTATCAGATCGTACACCAACATTGCACAATTGATGGACATGAACTATGAGAATTCTGTTTGTTTAGGGTTCAAAGAGATAATGTTTGTTTGATTTGTCACCAGAAGAGACAAAGCAGTACACTTATGCTGACAAAATCAGAAATTAAGCACAAGAATTTAAACACTACACGAAGTGTAGACGGGGCTCCGAGATGGTGTGCACGTGGTCAACCCTAGTGAAGACACGTGACAAGGCGAATTTATCCTTTGCTTGTAAGAGGAGTAGTAGTGGGGTCCACATGTCCTGGTGGGGTCCACAAATGGAGTGCCTCTTTGGTTTCGCTCTTTATCGATGAGCCCAAAAAATATTCTCTCTCCTGTCATGTCACACACAATCTCCTTCTGAATACGAAGCCGAGATTTTCTGTCCTAGTGTTCATCATCATCAACGGCTGTAATCGTGCGAGCTCGGTCAGGTTGTGCTAGAGCCGTTGGTTAGCTAGTGAGTCCGTTTAGTCAAGCTGAGCTCAGCATTGGGTCCAAAGTTGAGACACTAGGCAGACAATGGCGGGACCCACATAAGTTGTCACCGACGTTAGCTGTAGGCTAGCAGCTGCTCCACCACTGCCTTTTTCTTCCTTCATATTCACAATCACAGCCTCCCTTCCCAACCCACACAAACCCCTCTCTCTCTCTCTCTCTCTCTCTCTCTCTCTCTATATCTCTATCTAGAATACATTTATTAAACACACACAGAGTGATACTATGGAGTGAAATGCAGTGTTATTGAAGATCTGGTCATTTTCAACATCGGAGTTTTAATTAATGGGCCTTACTTCTCTGCAAGTTTGCATGGATTCATCTGATTGGCTACAGGTATTCCATGCATTAATATTTACTTAATTTGTGTTTCAATTTGTCCATTTTTTGTTGCTATATTTTTCTTCTTAATTAGTAGTACAATATTTGACATTGCATAGAGAAAAAGAAATGTTACACTTAAAATGTGTCTTTGTATCATGAATTTTAATTTACCACATAATTAAGCGGCCATGATCATTTTGGCTCCATTTTCTGTTAGATATATGGGTTCTTTTTTTTAATAAAAAAAATGTTGTGAAAATATAATTAATCTTAAAGGAATCAAATAGGTAAAGTTTTATTATATAACTTTCAGAAAATGATAACAAATTAAAATTGTCACCACTAACAAAGCTCAATTCTCACTGAATACAGAGATAAAGTTAAGAAAATTAAACAAGTTGACCAGAAAAGAGAAGTGGCATGCAAGCTCCAAATTAAATTTGTTAAGCATTATTTCATAGTCCTAATTAATGTGACTAATTTTATGGTGTGCTCATGAATGACCAATAATTGGCGCCACATTTTCCATTTATGGCAGGGCACAATGGACGAGGAGAATGGAATGGATTCATCCTCACCATCTGGGGACATTCTGACATGCTCAAGGCCTATGATAGAGAGGAGGCTTAGGCCTCCCCATGACCAAGCCCTCAAGTGCCCTAGGTGTGATTCAACACACACCAAGTTCTGTTACTACAACAACTATAGCCTCTCTCAGCCAAGGTACTTCTGCAAGACTTGTAGAAGGTACTGGACAAAAGGTGGGACACTGAGGAACATCCCTGTGGGTGGGGGTTGTAGGAAGAACAAGAAAGTTTCTTCCAAGAAATCATCACCAAATGACAATCATCAGTCCAACAACAATAATATTATGATTAATCAAAACCCCGGATCCTCGTCCCACAACCCGACCGATCTTCAGCTGTCGTCGTTCCCTGCGGAGGTGCAGTTCTCACACCTCGGAGACCTGATGGGGAACCACCACCATGGTGGTCTTGGAAACCCTAGTTTCATGGAGAGCAAGTACAATGCCATGCTTGAAAACCCAAGGGCTATTGATTTCATGGAGAGTAAGTATCATGAGGGTATTGTGGGGAATTCAAGGAACTACAAGTTCTTAGGGAGTGGTGAATTGGGCTTTATGAGTGGGCTTGGTCATGACATGAGTGGTCACACTCATGGGTTGGCGCCAAACTTTCATGGGCTTTGCTCTCCATTTGGAATGTCACTCGATGGGAATAGTAGTGGGCCTTTCATGGACACTTGTACTCAAAGGTTGATGCTTCCATATGAAGCAACAATGGGTGATCATCAGGGACAAAATGCAATGGATGTGAAGCCAAACCCTAAGCTTCTGTCCCTTGATTGGCAAGACCAAGCTTGTTCTGATGCTGGGAAGGACCCTAGCTCTTTTGGGTATTTCACGGGCCTCGGTCCGTGGACTGCGGGCTTGATGAATGGTTATGGATCATCCACAACAAACCCATTAGTCTAAACTAATCAGAGGTCTTCTTGGCCTTGATGAGTGCTGGTGTGGATCAACAGATGCTGTAGTTTAGACTCGGTTAACTACTTCTTTAAGTACTACTTAATATGCCTTTGATGGAAAGGGTTTTTTTAGTGTTTCTTTCTGTGAAGGTTTTTTTTTTTTTTTTTTTTTTTTTCCAATTAATCTTTGATTGACTTAAACAAGCAGTAGTGTGAATGAGGAATGTGAGAGTCTAAAAATGACTGTTTTTTTTTTTTTTTTAGTTAGTGCCTTAATGTTGTTCTCTATCTTAATTTTCATTAATATATATGATTTTATTTCGGTGTTCTCTTTAATATGCTACTTTGTTTTATTTTGGTGATTTTGTTGGGTAAAGTAATCCAAGGCTAGCTTTAGGTTTTTGTGGACATAGCCATGTACGAAGAGATCGATAATATAATAGCCAGTGCCTTTTAATTATAGTTACAAAAACATGTGTGTTAAAGAACTTGGCGTATCTTTATATGGTGATTCACTGATTGTCTGTGTGTTTAGTGAACTAGCTATGAATTCATTATTGATAAAGTGATCGGACCGTATTGGCGGGAGAGTGTTTTTGAGACAAGAAAGTAGAGAAAAGCAGTGTTTCCAGTGCTGAAAGCAAAATTCTCTGGAGTACTGTGTTATATATAGTATGTTGCATGTGAGTGCGTTGTACTTTGACGGCTCTTCTGATTAATTATTGATACCTAGAGAATGACAGTGCTGAAGGTAAAAGAATGACTCGGACGCATGCCCCATACTGGCCCAAGCCCGTAAAAGACCAGCCCAGTTCAGCTCGTTTCAACCGTCTCTTAAAATTAAATTAATGCCATGTTCATTATATCTTTTCGGTTTATACGTGTATCAACTGTGTGCATGTATCAAGTGTGTGCAGGTATTGTCCAAGGGGTTTGTAGTAGAAAAACATACAATACAACAAGAAAAATATTTGTTTCTTCATATCTTCTTCTTCTCTATACACAAAAACTCATAGTTGGTTGAAACTAGAACCAACATAAGTGGTACCAGAGCTTGATTCCGATCAAGAGCAAACTGGGCGTGAAGCTTATTGACGGGAAAACAAATCACGAAGAAGATCGACCGTGATGGCGATTACAAGCAATCAAAATCAAGGAACCCAACAATCCGCATTTCCCTTTTTTATGGGAAAAATTATGATTTTTGGTATGTGAAGATGAAGATCAATTTTCTCTCATATGATCTATGGGACTATGTTGAAGATGAGTATGATGAACCGGAGGATACGACAACTTTGATGAATGCTCAAAAACAACAATTGAATTATCATAAGAAGAAAGATGCAAAAACTTTAGCCTTGATTCAACAAGGAGTTGCTGATACAATTTTTTTCAGAATTATCAATGCTTCTAAAGCAAAGGAGGCATGGAAATCCTTTGAGAAGGAGTATAGAGATAGCACGAAGGTAAGAACTGTAAAACTCTAATTTTTTAATTAGAAGAGATTTTGAAAATATGAAAATGAAAGAAAATGAGTTGCTAAAAAAAATTTCTCTAGATTTATGGAAGTTGTGAATCAAATGAAAACATGTGGGGAAAATATTTGTAATTAAAGAATTATTGAAAAAATTCTAATTAGTTTGCTAGAAAAATATGACTAAATTGTTGCTAGCAGATTTGAGTGTTGAAGAATTAATGGTTCTATTAAAACATTTGAGTAAACGTTGAGTAGGCGCTTCGAAAAAATAATTGAAAGTGCCTTTCAATCCAAGCTCTATTAGTTCCAAAAATCAAGAAAAATACTCATCAAGTTTTGATTGATCCAAATGTGAGTCTTCTAGTGGTGGAATATATAGAAGAGGAAGAGGAAGAGGAAAAAATTCAATAGGAAGAGGAAGAAATAATGAGAGGTGGAAATATGGAGTCCACTCAACAAAAATGTAGAATTTGTAAAATAAGTAACCATGTTGAGAAAGATTGTTGCTTTCGTAGAAAACCACAATGTTTCAATTGTAAGAAATTTGGGCATGTTCAAAAAGATTTTCGAGTCAAAGCAAATCAGCAAACTAATTTTTTCAAAGAGCAAGAAGTTAAAGAAACATGTCTTATGCTTGTCACATGGCATCAGAACAAAAAGATAATGTATGGTTTCTTGATAGTGGGTGTAGCAACCACATGACCGGAGATAAAAACATTTTTTTGGAGATTGATTCTTCATCAAATTCTTAAGTGAGGATGGGAAATGATGACTTGGTCTAAGTAAAGGGAAAATGTACTATTGCCATAAAGACAAAAGAAAGGAAGAAAGCATATTTGTGATGTGCTACTTGTTATGGATTTGGAGCAAAATTTATTGAGTGTTGGGCAGCTTGTAGAGCATGGATACTACATTCATTTTGATGAGGACTCTTGCAAGATTTATGATAAGGGAGGAAAAAATCAAATTGTGGCAAGAATTAAGATGGGCAAAAACAGAAGCTTTCGTCTCATTTTTCATGCTAAAAAAATGTGGCTTTGAAGATGGATGTTGTTGATGAATTATGGCATTAGCATAGAAGACTTGGGCACTTGAATTTCCAAAACTTAAAGAATTTACAACCAAAGAACATGGTGTGCGAGCTGCCAACAATACAAGAAGTTAAAGAAGTTTGTGAAGGTTGTGCTATTGGCAAGCATCACCGAGAGTCATTTTCAAAAGAGAAGGCATGGAGGGCTAAAGCATCATCGGAGCTTATTCATATCGATGTGTGTGGGTTGATGACAACACCAACTGATGCAGGTAACAAGTATTTTATCATTTTTGTTGATGATTTTTCAAGAATGACATGGATTTATTTATTTCATGAGACAAAAATCAGATATGTTCTCCATTTTCAAAAAAAATTCAAAAGCTTCTTGAAATGCAAAGTGAACACCTTATTAAAGTATTGAGAAGTGATAGAGGTGGAGAGTAAAACTCAAATGATCAAATTTGCAAATTTTGTGAAGATATTGGCTTGGAGATCGAGACAATTAACGGTTGGATACACTACACAACACTATAGAGTGGCAGAAAGAAAAAATAGAACAATTGTTGAGATGGGTAAATCAATGCTTCATATATGAGAAGGGGTTGCCTAAATCTGTTTGGGGTGAAAACGTGTATATGACTGTTTACTTGATGAATAGAAGTCCAACAAAAGCGGTGGAGAATAAAACTCCATTTGAAGCATGGAGTGGAAGGAAGCCATCCTTGAATCATTTGAAAGTTTTTGGGTGTATTTGTTTTGCACATGTTCCAAGAGAAGTGAGGCACAAACTTGATGAAGCTAGTGAAAAATGCATCTTTGTGGGTTATAACTCAAAATCAAAGGGTTATAAACTCTTTAATTTGAAGAAGAAGAAGTTGATTATTTGTAGAAATGTTCTCTTTAATGAGATTGCCTCTTGGGATTGGAAAGAGAAGAAAGTTCAAGATCAAGTCATTTATTTTAATGATGGATCAGAAAATAATGAAAAAGAATATGAAAATGTTCTTGAAGCTCCACAACAAATGTTTCCAATAACAAGCTCACAATTAACCCCAACTTCTCTATCAAGCTCAAATACGTTATCTCCAAGTTCAACTCTTAGAAGAATGAGAAGCCTTAGTGATGTGTATGCAAGTTAAAATTTTATGTTGTTGAACCGGAGAATTTTGAAGAAACAATTAAACAAGAGGCATGGAAGAAAATTATGGAAGATGAAATTTATGCGATTAAGAAGAACAAGACTTGAGAGTTGGTAGAGAAGCCGGAAGATAAAGATGTGATTGGTATGAAATGGATTTTTAAAACAAAATTCAATTCTGATGGCTCCATTCAAAAGAACAAAGCAATAGTTATAGCAAAAGGGTATTCACAACAGCCCATAATTGATTTTCAAGCCCGTGGCTCGTCTTGACACAATTAGATCACTCATTGCCTTGGTGGCTCAAAAGGGTTGGTTCTTGTATCAACTTGATGTAAAATCAACCTTCTTGAATGGAATTTTGAAAGAGGAAGTTTATGTACAACAACCTCAAGGCTTTGTTACAAAAAGCAAAGAAGAGAAAGTCCACAAATTGAAGAAGGCTTTGTCTGGCCTAAAACAAGCAACCCGAGCATGGTATAGTGAGATTGATTCTTACTTCATCACAAAGGGCTGTCAAAGGAGCAAAAGTGATCCAACCTTGTACTTCAAGACATAAGGTAAAACCTATATTCTTATTGTTTCTCTTTATGTTGATAATTTGGTGTTTATCGGTAATGATGAAAAAATATATGAAATGAGTTATTTGGGTTTATTGCATTACTTTTTGGGTATTGAAATTTATCAAAAAGAAGGAGTGTTCATTTATCAAAAGAAGTATGCAAAAAATTTTCTTAAAAAAATCAGAAAGTTGAATTAAAAATCTGTTTGCATTCCTTTGGTTGTGAATGAAAAATTGATGGGAGAAGATGGAAGCAAAGAAGCGGATGCATCTTTCTATAGAAGCTTGGTTGGAAGTCTATTGTATTTGACAACTTGAAGACCCGACATCATGTATACTACAAGCTTATTATCTTGGTTTATGCACTATCCAAGCCAAATTCATTTTGTGGCAGCCAAGAGGGTGTTGAGATATATACAAGGTACACTTGATTTTGACATCTTGTATGAGCAAAATGTTAATGCAAAGTTGTTTAGATTTTGTGCAATCTCTCTTGGTTCGGGTGTATTTTCATAGGCATCCAAGAAGCAAGAAATGGTGGCACAATCTTCTGCTGAGGCTGAATACATTTCAGCATCATTTTCATCGTCATAAACAATATGGCTAAGAAGAATTTTTGAAGATGTTGGTGAGAAGCAATGAGAAGCTACTACAATTTTATGTGACAACAAATCCATAATTCCTATTGCAAAGAATCCCATCTTCCATAATCGCATAAGGCACATTGTAATCAAGCATCACTTTATTAGAAAGCCCGTGGAGGATGAAGAGATTCAACTCAAGTATTACAGGACCGAAGTCCAAGTTGCGAACATCGTTACCAAAGCACTTCAAAGAAATAAGTTTGAATACTTTAGAGAGTTATTGGGTATAAAAACATGGCATTAATGGGGAGTGTTAAAATTAAATTAATGTCATGTTCATTATGTCTTTTGGGTTTATACATGTATCAAGTGTGTACATGTATCAAGTGTGTGCATGTATGGAATGTTCAATGGTCTTTGAGAGGACTCTATATGTTGTCTACGGGGTTTGTAGTAGAAATCAATTCAAACCATTTTATTACATACAAATGTGTAAATACCCCTGGTGTTCAAAGAAACTATACAATTTTCAAGACT